AAAGCAGCTGCACCATTTTATAATCCTTTACATTCATGCTATTATTTATTTTTGTTTATCTTTAATTTTAGCCATCGTAGTAGATGTGAAGTGGTATCTCATTGTGGTTTAGATTTCTCTAATGATATGATTTTGAGTATCTTTTTAAGAACTGATTGGTCATTTGTATGTCTTCTTTGGAAAAATGACCATTCAAATCCATTGCCCGTTTTAAAATTACTTTATTTATCTGATGTTCAGTTGTTAAGAGTTCATTTTATATTCTGGATACCCTTCCCTTATTAGACACATGATTTGTAAATATTTTATCCCATTCTGTGGATTATCTTTTTACTTTTTAAAAACCATACCATGAAGCTTATCACTTAATCATTTTAAGTGTGTAATTTAGTGACATTGAATGAATACACTTCTCATGTTGTATAACCAAATAGTAACCCCTTTCTTCCCTCCCCAAGTCCTGATGTAACTACTGTTTTATTTTCTGTCTCTCTGAATTTGCATATTTTATTATAGATAAACTCTTATAAGCAGAATTATTCCACATTTGTCTTTTTTCTTTTTCTTTTTTTTAGAGACAGAGTCTTATTCTGTCACCCAGGCTGTAGTACAGTGGCCCAGACATAGCTAACTGCAGCCTCAGACTCCTGTTCTCAGGCAGTCCTCCTGCCTTAGCTTCCCAAGTAGCTGGGACTACAGGCACATGCCACCATACCTGGCTAATTTTTTTATTTTTTATTTTTGTAGAAATGGGGTCTTGCTGGGATACCCAGGCTAGTCTTGGGCTCCTGAGCTCAAGTGACTCTCCTTCTCAGGCCTCCCAAAGCTCTGGGAGAACAGGTGTGAGCCACAGTACTTGGGCCCTGTTTGTCCTTCTGTATCTGACTTCTTTCACTTAGCCCAGCATCTTAAGTTTCATCCATGTTGTAGCATATATCAGAATTTCCTTTTTCTGACTGAATAATAATCCATTGTTTGTACATACCACATTTTTCTATCCACCCTTTGATTGATGGACATCTGGGTTGCTTCTGTCTTTTTGCCATTGTGAATAATGTGGCGATAATGTTGGCAGACAAGTACTACATATCTGTTTGAATCTAGTTTTCAGTTCTTTCAGTGTGTACCCAGGAATGGAATTGCTGGATCATAAGGTAATCTGTATTTAACTTTTTAAGGGATCTTCCAGCTGTTTCCCACAGTAGCATATTTCCTAACTGTCTTTTCATTTTTTTGACAGTATCCTTTGAAGTACAAAAGGCTTTAATTATTTTTTATTTTTCGGGATTCATTGAGGGTACAAAGAATTAGGTTACACTGATTGCATTTGTTAGATAAAGTCCCTCTTATAATTGTGTCACCCCCAAGAAGTGTGCCAAATACCGTGACCCCCCATTTGCCTTCCTCCTCCCTGCTCCCGCTTTCTCATTCCCCTATCCCCCACCATGTATTAGGTCATCTGCTACCTTCATATTAGAATTAAGTACATTGGATTCTTGCTTCTCCAACACTGAGAAGAATGTATTCTGCCTCAATCCAAGTTAATACAAAAGATGTAAAGTCTCCATCTAATAATGGCTGAATAGTATACCATGGTATACATATACTACAGTTTGTTAATCTGTTCCTGGGTTGGTGGGCATTTAGGTGGTTTCCACACTAGGCATCTACCCAGAAGAAAAAAAAATCATTTTGTCATAAGGACATTTGCACTAGACTGTTTATTGCAACTCAAAAGTCTTTCATTTTAATTCTGTTTCTTAAAACTCAATTTTTTGTGCTTTGGGTGTTATCTAAGAAACCAGTGCCTAATCAAGGTCATGAAGATTTATTCCTATACTCTTTTCTAATATTTTTATAGTTAACAGTTCTCACATTTAGGCCTGTGATCCATTTAGAGTTAATTTTTGTTTAAGATGTTAGGTCAGGATCCTTCTTTTGCATGTAGTTATCAAATTGTCACCGTACCATTTGTTTAAAAGACTTATTTTTCCCCATTGAATTGCCTTGGCATCTTTTTAGAAAACCAATTAAACATAAATACAATAATTTATTTTTGGATAGTCAATTTCATTCCTTGACATAGGTAGGTAGATAGATATCTGCCATTAACCATTGCCACATTATCTTGATTACTGTAGCTTTGAAGTGTAAGTTTTAAAAACTAGAAGTGTTGAGTTCTCTTACTTCATATTCTTTCTTGGGATTCTTTGGTTATTCTGATATGAATTTTAAGACTAAGTTGTCAACTTCTGCTCTCCCAGCTTCCATTGCTTCATTATTCATTCATTTAACTCCTTGGCCAAGTTAAGCTATCTTTGTAGTCTCTGAGCATATACTTGGAACCCCAGTGTACAAAAGTGAGCTATTCTGTACTGAATTTTGCGTGCCAAGCTTTGAGCCTTTTTCTATCCAGCAGCAGCCCTTGGAAGTCTCTGTAGAATGCTGAAGAGCTTAGTTAAAAAGCCACTAAAGTCCTGTCAGCCCTAAAATTTGATAACTCTATAGGAATTACATTAGCAGTTAGATTGTTGAACATTGAAAATAATTTACTTGTTGCCAAATTTAATTCTCATCTTAGACACCATTTCTCCTGGACATCTTAATAGTATCTGAACACTTAGGTGCAGTCAGTCCCCAAGTTACAAATGACTTAGGTTCTGTAGGTTGTTCTTGAGTTTGTAAGTTGAAACAGGTACATCATATACCTGTTACTTACAATACCCTCCATTCATAAGTGTAACTCATATGTCAGTGGGATGTTTGTAACTTGGGGACTTACTGTAATAGCCTTCATCCTTAAGGGTGAGTTGTACGTAAGTCAGATGTTTGTAACTCAGGGACTGTCTGTTATTTCCCCCGTTCCCCAAATTTTCTTTCCTTGGCTTCAATTACACATAATCTTAAGTGCAACTTAAATTCCAACACTTTCAAGAAACTTTGCCAAATCATATTAGCTCATAAAAACATTTTTGCTACTAATAATTCACTATAATAGTCATTTGTACCATTCACCTAGAACTTAAGAATTGCACAAGGTGCTTTGAGCTACATAAATATGATTTAGGCTTAGATTCTGATCTAAAGAAATATAGTAGTAGAATAGAGAGGTACACAGTAGTTAATGAGTTGAAAGTAATGAATGCCACAGGAGAAAAACAGATAGATGGAACTATTCCAGAATCCTCTGGAACTTAAGGAAGATAAAGATACCTTCTTTGCCCTGGGAGCCTAGGATAGAGTACCCCAGAAGAAATGGATTAGGTCTTGAAAGACCTTCCTGACTTAGGAACAGCATGAATCAAGGCAAAAGTAGGAAAGCATGAGATGGTAGGTAGTTTGGTTTGATTAAGAAGGGCAGTAGGCTCGGCGCCTGTGGCTCAAGCAGCTAAGGTGCCAGCCACATACACCTGAGCTGGCGGGTTCGAATCCAGCCCGGGCCGCCAAACAACAGTGACGGCTAGCTGGGCATTGTGGTGGGCGCCTGTAGTCCCAGCTACTTGGAAGGTGGAGGCAGGAGAATCGCTTGAGCCCAGGAGTTGGAAGTTGCTGTGAGCTCTTCCAACTCTGCCACAGCACTCTACCCAGGGTGACAGCTTGAGGCTCTGTCTCAAAAAAAAAAGGGGCAATAGTGGGATATAACAATACAAAAGTTAACCAGAGCTGGATGTGGTTTTATTAGTTGTCTTTTTTGGGGGGGGGGGGTTGTTTACTTGTTTAAGAGAGAGAGAGAGACACACACACACATAGAGTCTCACTCTATCTTTCAAGCTAGAGTGCAGTGGCAAGCAACATCATAGCTCACGGCAGCCTCAAACTCCTCGGTTCAAGCAACCCTCCTGTCTTCACCTCCCATGTAGCAGGACTTCAAGCACCTCCCACCATGGCTGCTAATTTTTCTATTTTTAGTAGAGATGGGGTCTTGCTTTTGCTCAGGCTGGTCTCAAACTCCTGAGGCAAGCAATCCTGCTTTGAACTCCAGAGTACTAGGATCACAAGTGTGAGCCACCATGACCAACCTGTTATTTGTCTTTTTATAATGTGTATGTATTGTTTTCCTAATTATGTTATAAATCCTCTGAAGACAAAAAGTATGTCTTAAACTTTTATTCTTCTACAGCAAGGCTATGGGTAGAGGAGCAGTATTCAGTAAAATTTTGTTTAATGTATGAAAGGTAGAAACAGTAGTTTTCTAAACAAGCATTGCTCAAGGTACCTTTTCTTGTCATACCTTTCTGCTTACTTAGAACTGTACTTTAGAGTTCCATAGTAATGGTTCCTTATAGCTGAGGTCCTTAAGGGATTAAAAAAATGGGGATAGGGACAGTTGTATGTCCAATTAACAGTACTCAATTTAATTCATTCCTCCAAATGACAGGAGAAATGATGGTTTGAGCTAAAAAAAAGAATATTAAAAAAAAAACTATGTTTGAAATTGAAGTCTCAAAGCTTTTTTTTTTAAATATTTGTTGTATTGTATTTTCCTGGGATTTAGATTTTATTTAACCACAAATGTTTTAAAAAGAAATTAAGAGTTAAAAAACTGTACCCAAGAATTATGTCGAACTATGATGTGTGAGTGACTTTTTTCTCCTTCAAAATATGTTCTAAAATATTGTTTTGTGTGATTGAAAAAAGTTATAAACATCACCTGCTCTACTGAAGCACTGGTTTGTATTGTTATAAATTCCTGATACTCTTGGTCTCCATGGAAAGAGCATGTTACGTATACGTATAACAAAAAAGCAAGAAAGATGAGCATGTTGCTTTCAGCCCTTTCCAACAGCATATGCTAATTCTTTTCATATTTATAAAGCAATATGTACTTGACAAATTAATTTGAAAAATATACTTAGTGCAGGGGAGACTTTTTGTTATTTCAAAAGAGCAAACAAATTATCATGACTTTCAAAAGCCATTTATTGTAGATTCTTATGGCAAAGCAATTCATTCTTTTTCAATTATATGTTTTGTTTTAAACTTTCTGTGTCATATATTAGGTGAAAAACCATTTCGCTGTGATGAATGTGGTATGAGATTCATACAGAAATATCATATGGAAAGGCATAAGAGAACTCATAGTGGAGAAAAACCTTACCAGTGTGAATACTGTTTACAGGTAAGAGACATGCTTTGAAATTCTTCTATCCTAAGTAAATTACAAAATCCTAATAAGTTATATGAGAAAATATTATTTACTACTAAAACTGAGGAACTTTCTCTCATTGATTAGATTTATTATAGATAATTGGCTCAGTGAATTTATGCGCAATATTTGTGTTATATGTCTTCTTCTTAATTTTTTGTTTCTTTTTTCTCTTCTTGGTTGACCTGAAACACAAACAAAACCCACTACCAACTTCTGAATTCCACAGTATTTTTCCAGAACAGATCGGGTATTGAAACATAAACGTATGTGCCATGAAAATCATGACAAAAAACTAAACAGATGTGCCATCAAAGGTGGCCTTCTGACATCTGAGGAAGATTCTGGCTTTTCTACATCACCAAAAGATAACTCACTGCCAAAAAAGAAAAGGCAGAAAACAGAGAAGAAATCATCAGGAATGGACAAAGAGAGTGCTTTGGACAAATCTGACCTGAAGAAAGACAAAAATGATTACTTGCCCCTTTATTCTTCAAGTACTAAAGTAAAAGATGAGTATATGGTAGCAGAATATGCTGTTGAAATGCCACATTCTTCAGTTGGGGGATCTCATTTAGAAGATGCATCAGGAGAAATACACCCACCTAAATTGGTTCTCAAAAAAATTAATAGTAAGAGAAGTCTGAAACAGCCCTTGGAGCAAAATCAAACAATTTCACCTTTATCCACATACGAAGAAAGCAAAGTTTCAAAGTATGCTTTTGAACTTGTGGATAAACAAGCTTTACTGGACTCAGAAGGCAATGCTGACATCGATCAGGTTGATAATTTGCAAGAGGGGCCTAGTAAACCTGTGCATAGTAGTACTAATTATGACGATGCCATGCAATTTTTGAAGAAGAAGCGGTATCTCCAAGCAGCAAGTAACAACAGCAGGGAATATGCACTCAATGTGGGTACTATAGCTTCTCAGCCTTCAGTAACACAAGCAGCTGTGGCGAGTGTCATTGATGAAAGTACTACAGCATCCATATTAGATTCACAGGCGCTGAATGTGGACATTAAGAATAATCATGACAAAAATGTTATTCCAGATGAGGTACTGCAGACTCTGTTGGATCATTATTCCCATAAAGCTAATGGACAGCATGAGATATCATTCAGTGTTGCGGATACTGAAGTGACTTCTAGCATATCAATAAATTCTTCAGAGGTACCTGAGGTCACCCAGTCAGAGAATGTTGGATCAAGCTCCCAAGCATCCTCATCAGATAAAGCCAACATGTTGCAGGAATATTCAAAATTTTTGCAGCAGGCTTTGGACAGAACTAGCCAAAATGATGCCTATTTGAGTAGCCCGAGCCTTAACTTTGTGACTGATAACCAGACTCTTCCAAGTCAGCCAGCATTCTCTTCCATAGACAAGCAAGTCTATGCCACCATGCCCATCAATAGCTTTCGATCAGGAATGAATTCTCCACTAAGAACAACTCCAGATAAGTCCCACTTTGGACTAATAGTTGGTGATTCACAGCACTCATTTCCCTTTTCAGGTGATGAGACAAACCATGCTTCTGCCACATCAACACAGGACTTTTTGGATCAAGTGACTTCTCAGAAGAAAGCTGAGGCCCAGCCTGTCCACCAAGCTTACCAAATGAGCTCCTTTGAACAGCCCTTCCGTGCTCCATATCATGGATCAAGAGCTGGAATAGCTACTCAATTTAGCACTGCCAATGGACAGGTGAACCTTCGGGGACCAGGGACAAGTGCTGAATTTTCAGAATTTCCCTTGGTGAATGTAAATGATAATAGAGCTGGGATGACATCTTCACCTGATGCCACAACTGGCCAGACTTTTGGCTAAAAAAAATGTGTAAATAATACTGGCACTTTAGAACAGATTAATCAAGAGTGGGGTTACTCTTTGTAAAATGGAGTGCTGTACAGATTTAAGAGCAATGCGTAATAACAAGTTAAGCTGATATGAATAGCAAGATAATCCAATAACTGCATTTTGTTTGGTTAGTCAGCATTCTTTGAACTGCCTTACATGTTGTCACCTTTGTAGAAGCAATGCATTACTTGTTTTAGATCAGAAACTTGCTATTCCACCTACACCAAGTTAAAAAAAAAAAAGACTTTCGCACAATTGTTTCCTAACTGATAACATTGTACATTCTTAGGAGGTTAGTAATTGTGTGAATTTACTCATACTGTTTCTAAGTTTTTCAGCATAGTCATTGCACTTCAGCAGGGAATCTGAATATACTTTACAGAGTGAATTTAAAAAAATTAAATGTCAAGAGATTATGGCTTAAATAAATTAGTGTGTCCTACAGGGGGAAAAAAGAAACCAAGAAACCACCTTTTAAAAAGAATGATATGCCATATACCCTTGATTTTCATTTTGCATTATATTGACATGTGTTTTTTGAAGAAAAAAGTAATAAAAATCTGATAGTCTAAGACTCCACTATTTAAAAGCCTAATTACTTTTAAAATATGCATACTTTCAAAACTTTTACCAAAATACACAACTGTTGAAGCATTCACTTCTCTATGGAAGTATGCGTATTGGTGTCAGTTTCTTTGTACAGTTGTATCTAGATATTTTTTATGATTTTTCATGTGCAGGTATCAAGGTTTTGAAGTTTTAGTAAAAAAAAAAATACTCTGTAGATTACATTCCCAAGAACATAATGCTTACACAAAATGTATATTCCATGTTTTAAAGCTTAATTGTATTTTACTTTACATATCCACTTCAGTTAACATAGAGCACTTAGAATCTATTTGGTATTTTTGATTTCTCAGAGTAAAACTTAGATTTTTAGGTTTGATATGGTTGTGTCATAATCATCTCATTGACAGTTTTAATTTTTGGCAATAAAAGGAAATTGGGGTATCTTTGGAACTGTAAAACCTGGTTTAATCCTTCTCTCTCTAGATTATTGATAGATTGGATAATTAAACAGTATCCAGAGAAACTAAAGAAATGGGCATTTTAATTGCTTATTTTATCTTGAGTTACTTTTCAATGAACACTGCTCATTACAATTTTACAAACCAAAAGTGTTTACTAATTCCAGTAACTACAATTTCTTTTTCAGCTAGATGAGTGATCGGAAATTTTTTGTTGCATTTCAAAATCTAAATAAACTACCGACTTTATCCTTATACCATGAATGTTTTTTTTTTTAATACTTTGTGTTAAAATAATATAGCATGGTACAATAAATAGTGCTTTTTTATACACATATCTATACACACACACTTTTCTGAAGAATGATGGTTTGAGTTACACATTGAACAGTTTTGATTTTTGGAAAATAACATAAGTTATATTGATTCTATTCTCTAATTTGCTCCAACGTTTTTGTTTTTGTACTTTAAATTTCCACCATCTTTGTCACAATGCACATAGTGATTATAGCACCAGGGAAAAATCTAAAATTAATACCCTTTGAAGATGAAACTTTATTGTTAATTTCTATTTTAACTCTTATACTGGCTCTGTAGATCTGCATTCTTTGTTTCAATATAAAATGTTACCATTTAAATTATTATTTTTTTTATTTAATGTTATCCCAATGTTCTCAATAAAGGGAACAAAGAACTATTCACTCTTAACATCCTTCATAATATTCACTTATTTTGAATATATGGATATTTTTCTGATAAGGAATATGAATTATGTTTAATGTGGTTTCCTCTAAGCTTTAGTTAGTACCTTTGCTTGAAATACTAGTTTTCCCATTTGACAGCTTTCTTTGCTGCCAAGTTTTTCAAGAATTTTAGACTTCTTTGAAGTAAATATTTCCGTTCTGCCATAATTGACTCTTAGGATTGGTGTGTTGTACATCACATAATTACAAGAAGGCTTCATTCAGGTGAGATGTTAAAAATGGAACTGTGCCCACCTTACATTAGCATTTGTGTTTTTTACATTGTACTTTTAATGAAAGTAGGAATTCGTTTCCTGAGCTGACTTTTTTAGAGCCTGATCAAAACCTTGTTCCATTGAGAATTTGATGTAATTCTTGGCACACTCAGTTTCTTTGTTTGTTTCAACATCACCAGCACAGTTTTTAGAATATGACTCTATTGCCGAGCACTTAAGGTAAGCTTAGGAAGGAAGGCCTTTGAAAATGATAGTTATGCAAGCAGAATTTCAGGTGTCTCATTCCTGTCTTTAACACATTTCTTTACATAATGGCAGACTTTTCTACCAGGTTGTAAGCATTTGGTGTTACTCAGCCAGCATAACTTAGTGACTTACCATTTAAATATAGTCATCACTCTCTTACTGTGAAATTCTAAATGCCTACCAGAGTTACCTGTGTGATCATCACATGATAAACATCTCAGCAGTTTTGGGTTTCCCCACTTTGGTTCAGAAAGTTATTTAATTTCTATCTGGGCATTAATAGAAAAAATAAGTAGCCTCATGTGCTGCTTTAGATAGAAACATGGAGGATATGAGGATAACTTTTTGCAATTCATGTTCCTCATGTCTTGCAGTGAGCAAATTGTTCTATAAAACTTGCTTGTACACCTCTAAACTTTTGATTAATGTGAATGAGGTGTGCTTTTTTCTCTTGGGACCTACTCTTATGTGTGAAGATGGGAAACATCACATTAGCTGAGGTAATATTTCTTGAACATCTTCTAAAAGGGTTTTTGTGTTTTAAAAATAAACTTATTGCACACATATTTCATTTGGTTTTGGATATTTGAGTGGCTCTTAAATATTCTAGATCGACATGCAGGTGTGCTACTTGCTAAGGTAGGAGTTCATCTTCCTAGCTCTGGCTGAGGATGCCAGCAGTCACGGCATCTTATCTCAAGGCAGAAGAGACCTTGTGCTCAGGGCAGATTTTGATTCCGCAAATGAGAGACATTTGCAAGGTGCCAGCTAGGTTAGATCTTTTGCCACTTCTTTCATTTTATTAATCTGTGTTTTTAAAGGGCTGTTGAAAAATTAAGCTGGGAAACTTTAAAAATAGGCATTACTATAGTACTACATTTCTTAGAACATTTTAAACTAGAACTCATTTTTCGCAGTATATTTACTTGAAGAAGCACTATTATCAATGAAAAATACTTTGAGTCTGCAATTTAATTTAAACCTTTTCCGTTTCAAATTGCTTTATTTCAGGGAAATAATTTTCCAGTTGTTTTTGCTATATTCTGCAAATAAAAATCGTATGTTTCCTTTTTTCATTTAAACTTTGGTAGGAAACAAACTAAAGCAGACAAACATTTCTTGTTATGTTTGTTGCTTTCTTTAATCCAATGGATGAAAAAGTAAAACCCTGTAAACATTATTTTATTTTTTTATGCAATACCATGCTGTAAATACGGTTCATCAAATAAGGATGTACCTATGATTGAATCTTTTAATTCTGCACAGTTAGAGTTTATATATAAACGTGTCTTGACAATCAAGGACTTTATGTGAGTCTTCCTTTATGATGTTTATTAATGTTATGCATTCCATTTGTTTTGAAGTGAGTACCAATGTGCTAATTTGTATTGTCTGAAAGTATGTAATGTTTTTACAGCTTGTTTTTAAGAATCTGTAAATATGTACAAACAAATCACAGTACTGCTTTATGTTAGAAGGCATATGATGTTGTACTGTATGTAAGCAATAATACATAGCAGTGCTAACTTTACAAGTAGCATCAGGAAAGTTCTAAAAACATTTCAGAGTTATTAATTATCTTTATTTCATTTAATAATGATTACCTTTAATCAGTTTTTATAAGCAAATTCCATTGTTCCTCCTATTGGAACATAACACTGTTTACACAGCATATTTGAAGTTGCAGGGGAGACAGGCTAAATCTGACTTCATCTGTACTCACTTTCACTAAGCATTGAATGGCCTTACCACTCTTCTGCAAGATGGAGGAAGACCGCAAAACTTAGTGCCCATCACACTGAAGGAAGGGATGTGTTGTTGTTGTTTGGATTTTTTCCTGCTTCTGTACTGCTACCTAACCTTGTGATTTGCTTTGGATTTCAATATTCGTTTCTGTTTTATATTTAAGCCTGTAAGTTTTGAGGTGACTTCAGCTCCATTGTGAAATAGATAGTTCTCTTCATATTTCATAGCTACATTTCAATAATTCTAAACTTTCTACTTTGATTTTTAGATACTTATTTTTCGAGCTTGATTTCTCAGCTGATGAGATGAATTTATTCAACTTCAATACAAAGAAAGACAAACCTATTGTAGTTTGAAGTGAGTAGATACTATACTGTACAGAACAGCTAACTAATTGAACACACACATCACTGCTTTAGAAATAAAAACGCCAATTTATAAATGTATATGACCTACATTTTATAGGAAAATGTTTTTAAATGCTAGTCATTTATATAATGTGCTTTGAAGGATTTGCTAGTCCACTTCTGTCACTTTTTAGTACACTGGTATCTTTTATATGTAATGTATGCTTTTTATTGTAGCAAAGCATTTCAGTAGAAAGACTTTTGCAACAATATGGGGGAAATTTTTCATTGTTGGATTTGAATTATACTGGATTTTATCTGTGTAGTCTTGTCTTTATTTTAATGCTGTCTGGAAGGGAACTTGGTATCCAAATAAAGCAGGTAACCTCATTTTACTTCAAGGGCATACTGTGTAGTGCTGAATTTAATCTGAAAATCTGATTTTGAAAAGAAAAATAAGTTTATAAAAATTGTACAGAAGAAATTAAATGTGTGATGGAAATCCTGATGGCGGAGCACGTTGAATTTTCTGATATATAGTGTTATTTTCCTGGGATCTTATGCCTTCTTTGTATTTCAACTAATAAAGGAAAAACCCTGTCATTAAAAGTGTTAGGACAATAGGATATTCTGATTATACAGTATTACTTTTCTTATCCCATTTTCTGACCTTTTCTCAATCACTGTAAATTTTAATTTTCTATTTCCTATTGATAATTAAACATGTACATAATAGATGCTGTTGTATAGAACTGAATAAATTGGGTTGCTATGCTTGAATGGGTAGCTAAATGGAAATATTTGATGGATAATGAAAGCTCATAAAATGCCAGAGCAAATTTACCAGGGAAAGAGGGGCCTCGTGTATCTTGGGAAAGTCAAAGCAAGTTGTTTCTTCAACTCTTAGGAAATCAGTGTGAAGAAATCAACTGCAAACTCAGTATCAGATACTAAGTGGTCTTTCCTTCCCTTCTTTTCCCCAAAAATAGGAGCACTAAATTTCAAAATCTACTCAGGTGAAAATTGCTTTGCAATGAAACTTATCACATTGAAATCTTCACTGTTAAATAAAAAAAAAATTGTGATATTTTTAAATACAAACTTTTACATGAGTAGCCAGCAGCCTGACAATTGAATTTGGTAAGTCAGTATATTTTAAAGTATATTTTGCCCTCCCAATAGAATTGTTTTTAAACAATTGGGAGGATTTTTTTGTTTGTTTGCTTAAATTTTTAGTGTTACTGTAAAAAAGTCTTGCTTGACCCCATATACTATGAGGAACTGCTGAGCCTTTATAATACAATGAAAGCTTGTTTCATGCATAGACATGGAACATAAAAATGTCCTTTGAACTATTCATAAAAGGTTTAATGAGTTTCATGGCTTTTGGCACAATTGTCGTATAGTTAACCTTGCCCTTCAGAGTTTATAATACCATTTTATGTATTGTGATACTAAAGGAAGTTTTTGATTTATTTTAAATTGAATTATTAGACTAATATTTGCAAATTCTGCATTTCAATGTGGCTGTTTGAAAATAAAAAATACAGAATACAGTTTTATGGATAATTTTCTAGCTGAATTTTTCACAGTATTCTGAACCAAATAACTTATGGTAAATATGCAAAACCTGTGGTGCATAGACAGTTAATATTAAAGGGAAAAGGATGTCTGTGTGGAATTTAAGTTATACAAATTGGGTAACAATTTTCGGGGCCTTTGCTTTAGCTTTGTGTGGAATGTTATTAGTGCTACAATGCAAGAGTCAAATGTTACTGTCATTTAATATTTTAGACTTGAAATGTGTTATTTTCTTTACAGATTTTATTAACCCGCCATTAGTACATGTTTTTTTTTTTTTTCTTTCATCATTGGAGATATGTTTTCATCCATCAATCACCTAGCCAGTACCCTATCTTGTGACCAGTGGGATGCAT